GGTAGCTTTAATGAATTTTATATCCAATTCATTTAGCATTTTTTTGAAACATTTTCTTTTTGATCTTGTGGAACAGTGGAAGATAGCCATAATTTCAAAATATAGTTAAAAATGACGCTAAGTAGACAGACTCTACTAAAAGGGAAAACAGATGTGACGTGTGCGGGGGTGTTCAGTGTTCAGTGTTCAGTTAGGTCGTGATTGACAGAAAGAAACTGGCCGCATGCAAGTCACTTGATCGACAGTGACCGAGGATCTTTCCTTTTGTAAAGTTTTAATAGATCTTATTAATAATTCGCAATCAGGGCTCTGTATAAACGCGTATAGGACTAGTAAGATGAAAGTTGACTAAAAACTATCAACGCGTTAATTTCCCAAAAAATAATGATCTGTAAGACTAAGCATGAAAGTCGAATTCCATGCGAATCAATAACATTTGTGACTTCTTTCATATATTAAAGTCAAAATATGAATATTCCATGTGATTGTCTTGATCAGTTTTCACAGAATATAAGCTATATATATTGACGTTAAAACCTCAATAAAATACTGTTTTCTCCTCTAGTTCCTCTGGATAAACACCATCGCCACGTTCTCATATCAGTCACATCTTCCACACAGACTGAAACTGGAGTGGTAAAGAGCGGTCGTTTTCATAGCAGTCTGCATGGTCTCTAGCTTCTTCGGGGACAAAATTTTAAAATATATATAAAAGTTGTGATAAATTGAAATAAATAACAAGAGAAAGGCGTCCTGAACCTGGCAGTGATTCTCTTTTCAGCAAGTAGGCCAGCTTTCATTTGTTTTCCCGCGTTTGTTCCCGTTTAATTCGTAGGATACGCGGCCCCTATATTGCGAATTATCAGATAAGATCGATCTATTGTGTAAATTCTAAAGTGCACGTCTTTCTCAAATGTAACCCATGCAGTATTAGTTTTATTTCTTGGAAATTCTCAACCTCGTTCCCAGGGTCTCTCCTTCCAAAGATCCTGGGTACGAGGTTGGGAAATTCTATGAACTATATACGATGGATCAGTACGCGTGTTGATTCGCTGCGATCTTAATTTTTTCCCGGCGGACTTAATTTATACCAAATTTACCCGACTGTTCACCAACCTCGGTCCCACCGTTGTTCTACCTTACCGTATTTCTACTGCAATTTGGTCTGGGCTAAGTTCACATGGATAAATGGATACTAAGTTTAGTGACTGATAAATGTTCATGAACTAAACTCCACTGAACCGGTATTGTCAGGATCATTGCTAATGGCCGATATGCATGTTGGTTATCTGAGCTACCCACAACCACTTTTTTCTAGTTATTGCATACTTCTTTTTTTGAATGGAATAATCATTACAATATAGGCAGGTATTCTCATGTTTAAATAGCATTTGTAAATTCTGAACGCTGATTGGCTAATAGCCGTGTTGACATAACTCAATGTCAATACGGAAAATTTCTTTCTTTATATTTCTTTGTGCTATATTATAAAAAATATAAAACATTTTTCCGTATTGATATACATATTTATATCAACACTGGTGGAACTGATTGGGAATACTCGAAATTATGTGAAAACACTCCGCCCCTTAGCTCCGAGCGTCGTGTTTCCGGACAAAATTTCTCGTTTTCCCAATTTCCACTCGTATATCAACACGGAAAGTGTTTTATATTTGTTAAATATAAACCACAACGGTCTGTGCAAGCGTAAGTATAGAGGCAACAACTGACCCGAGAAAGCCGCTGCGAGTTGAAAGGGATTCAACTTACCTGAAGTTTTGCCGCATTTTTCAGGTAGTCGAATCCCTCTCAATCCGCAACTTTCTTAAATAAACTAATTTTTCAAAATTACTTTTCCCTCAATAGCGATATCCTTATAAAACCATGCCGGGGCAGGGCCGCCTGCATTGGGATTCATATCATCCAAGCAAGGACAAATATCAGAAAATTTTCATTTCGTCACTCTGTCTCTTCTGGCAGAGTCTCTGGTTTATACATTTGTGGAATTCGGCTACCAACATATGTTACTAAGTATTATTTAACTAATAATATGCAATGAAGAAATTACTCGATTCTGATTGGCTAAGACGAGTGCAAGTTTATCGAAATACGGTGATGGCCGTGCCAAAAGAAAAACAGTGCCAAAAAATGAACTACAGTGCCAAAAACGAAATACGTGGCAAGTGCCAAAACAAAAGAAATTTCGATGTAATATTCTGACTTCTGGCATAACGCTGTTGCCATTCGAATGAGTACATTATTTATTATTAGCTGGTGCGCAGTCTCGTGACACCGTGCGCAGTATAAGTAAATTATTAAATTGTGTCAAATTTCGCATGTGTTTCATGTCTTGCAAGTTGCAAGTGACTATGAATTTGCTTCTGCATAATTTTTTCATGTATATTATTAATAAGTAACAGTATAGTTTCTGTCCAATTTGAAAAAACAACAACGAAAGCTTCAAATTGCAGGTCGTCCTTTCGACTCCTTGGGACGTGGTAAGTTTAGTAGTTTTCTAGACTATAAACTTGAACTTCCGCTCTCAGCATGAACACCTTGGTTTCAGCTCATGCCACCTCATTGCATACAATCTCATCTTTATAATTAAGCATTGACAGATATCTATAACTTAGGTCGGATGTGCTTGAGTGGTCACAAGTAATCTTCTATCAGCACAGAACTTCAGTGTGTTGTGTTAAATAGTATTACCGACAACAGATGCGACTGCGATTCAGTTTGGTTCGGTTGTTTTACCAGGGTTTCAGACACCAATGCAACGTTAGTGAAGTAAATGAACTAAATCAAATTTACTCGTTGCTGAAACTTTTAATTGATGAAACTACCCCATTGTGGTATAAAAACGGTTAGCCGGCTCATTTTAGGTATAGAATTCTTTTACTGACGAATACAATGCAACCACCTACGTACATTACACTATTTGCCGAAATTGAAAAATGAATGTTGCACGTCATTATATCCTACGGCTACGTCCTAAATTTTAGCTTTCAATATATTCAGATTAGTTACCGACATCGACATGATAAACTTTGTTTGTTTTAAAATATTTGTATAGATGAATTCCAATGTTACTATGAAAAGTTTAAAGTTCATTAATCGTCTGCCTGATTATAATATTTGATAATTCCAAATTTGTTTATTTTAACGCGTGTTTTTCAGTGGCTCAGACGAAAAAAGAAGTTCCCATGTTTTTTAAGTGAAGTTGTTCTTACGTTGGCTATGACCCTATGTCAAGAGCCAGTTATCAATAAATTAGTTCCGTACGAATACATACTCCTTACTCCTTAGTCTTCATCTCTCCTCGAATCATAGTTCGAATCCACTTCTGTCAACTGTGAATAGTTTTCAATCATGGTTTGACATCATCTTCAAGACAAATGGTATTTTACATCATACAAAGGAAACCGGCAGCACATGTATTATATAACTGCAGTATTATTTTGTGTTTAGCAGTGCACGTGAACGATCGTGGGACCATTGCAACCAAGGAATCACACTGACTTCTAATGCAGACATTTGCATTTATATATCAGAGACTGAAATGATAGCTTAACTGATTAAAAAAGAATTCCCCTCCCTTGTCAAAACTTGCGCCGGTGCGGTCTGCGCACTTCTGGATAGCGCCTGCTACGTAGGCTAGCGAGCAAGTGTCATGCAGCGTTGGTTGTCGACGGGCGACAAGGACACGAGGAAGGTGGACTGGCCTTTACGGTCGGTTGTTACAGCCTTGCGATCGCATAGCTCGGAGACGCGTGCCTGGCTGGTGATTCGAACGATCGATCAGCGGCCTGTCGAGGGGGGAGGGGGTGCCGGGTACCTACCTCGTATATCAGTACCTATTGCATTCCCAGTTCAGCCCCCTTGGCTATGAGACCCCGGCTCTTGCCAGGCGGCAATGCATATACATTTGAGGGCCGGATATTGTTGATTTGAAATTTCATAATCCTGTTTTTCTACTTTAATTAAATTCCATTTCCTGATTAATTAAAAATGATTGAGTTTTTCACCATGACCAGTCCACTTGATCACTCATCTCTTAGGGCTTTAGCCGCCACCGAAACAAAGTAAAACTAAATCCATCAATTGCCATCGGCAAATACAGTAAAAAAGTTGATCAAGATGATTTTTTTGTAAAGATATCAATTATTTCTTTTTAGAATGAACCAAATATTTATTCTATGCCTTAATTTCTTGTCGTATTACAGATATTTTCTAGACTCGTGATCTTGAAATTCTGCTTTGGCAAACTAGAACAAGATTGCTAAAAGTAAAACGCTAAGTCAAGACTCAGCGCCTTAGCAATCCTCAGTGTTTGCCAAAGCAGAATTTCTCATATTTCATCCAGAGTTAAAAACTACGTTAAAATCACTGATTGTTAGTTTAGTAAAGCCTTTTCGGCTATATTAACACTAAATTTGATGTGTATATTAAAATGTTGTAGCATTTCAAACAATATAATCTGTCATATGATCAGGTGACAATTTATAATATGAGTACGAAACACTCTTTATTTTCACTCGAACATGTATATTGACGCGCAAGTACAATAGCATGGAAATTAACAAATGACTGACTACGGGTTGTTATATTAATTTTTTCACACACTGGCACTGCAAAGTCATAACATCCGATTTTATGTTGGATCAGCATTTTGTAATTTTCCTTCAACACAATGCTGGCAATGGTTAGGGATTAGGAAGTGAGAATAATTAAGTCAAATAATTGACAAATTTTTAATGACTTAAATGTCACGAGACTGCATGGTAATTCCATTGTGTAGGTTGAGTTCAAAGTCCAATTCGGCAATATTGTGTATATTCCGTATTAAAACGAAAGTAAACTAAATCTTTAGTTTAACAGGGTTCGTAGTCTCCAAGGCCAAAAAAATGCAAAGACTTTCAAAGATTTTTGTTGCCTATTTTCAAAGACTTTTCAAAGACCTTTGAGGTCTTTGAGAGCAATCAGCTGTCGAAAAATTGCAAGTCGGAAAGCAACATTTTTACCCAATACTGATTAGTCCCGTCAATTCACATCCTAAAATGCGCCTTTTCGTCGAGTTTGCGAAAATCTTGCTTCAATCAATCTATTTTATTAGCTAGGAAATCGTATAATCAAATACTCACTAAAGAATTTAAAGACTTTTAAAGACTTTCTTCGCTTTTTCACACAATTCAAAGACTTTTCAAAGACCTTAAAGACCTGCATTCAAATTTAAAGACTTTCAAGGATTTCAGAGACCGCTACGAACCCTATTTAAGCAACTAATTATTGAGACAAATGTTCAGAAATTGAGAAAGACAAACTTATTATAAGCTTTATAAGGTATACAGTATTTTTGCAAGGCCATGCAAGATTGCAAGAAGACTGAAACCGAAAAGATCATCATTATGGCGATTGTGCTTTATGGTATTGACAGACAGCAATGGTAGCTCCTTGACCTTAAGTTAGTAGAACCTAGTTTTGTGGGTTTTTTTAGTTCATATATTTGTTTTCGACTTGTTTTCTTTATATTTTTGTGTGAGTTGGTTTGTAATATTCGCATGGCGCTGTATCGGTTCCTACGGCAACGCATGTTAGCCAATAGGCAATTCCAGGATTTCCAGCTTTTAGTTTATGCGTCCATCACCCCCTGCGCGCATAAATTAAAAGCTGGAATTGCCTATTTGTCACGCATGGCCATTTGTCTTGTCATGGCCATATTGACGTCATACAATTACAATGCTTATTATTAATGAAATATAAAAATATGTTGTTTATTTTTTAATTTTTTGTTTGTTTTTTCTTTGTTATTTGAATTCGTCGCTATATAACAAAACACTTATTGTCTGTTCCCTCCTGCAGGAAATAATTTGTTTTCCATCGAGTCTTATAATGTTTCCCTCGACTTCGTCTCAAGAAACATTGAAACTCTCGTGAAAACAAAACTAACCGCAAATTCTCTCGGGATCGAACAGACATTATAGGTCATCCGGCTTCTTGATTCGTCATCCCGCAAGTATGATTTCATGTGATATTATATCTTAAAATAGTAGGTATATGGATTTAAATATAACACGAATAGAATTAGCAAATTGAGTGGTGTTTTAGACTTTAGCACACAAAATTTTGGTTTTCCGGCTCAAGACTTGCATTGGTTAAGAAAAAAATGACAATAGCGTAACTTGTCACGTGACTAATATGAAAGATTTCATGCTTACTCTTCAATTGCAATCTTTCACACTGAAAACCCAAAGATAAATGTAAGCGTACGGTTTCGTATATAGTAGTTAAGGAAAGCGTAAACTCGAGCCGCAGGCGAGTGTATTTTAATTTTACGCTTCTCGAAAGTCGAAAGTGCATGGATCACGCTATTCTGCTTGGAAAACCATTTGGTAATTGTTTTACTGTAAAACTGATAACTACAGTGAAACAATGACATTTTGAGAATCCCGCGAAAATCCCGCAAAGGCATTTTAATTCCTCGTGCAGGATAGCCTGATCCTGCATGGCTATTGACCAATCAAATTGCGTGTTTCGCTGTAGTTATTATATAAAAGTTCTTACTCTACTGTTTTAAGCGGTTTGAGATCACGTATGTGACCTCTTAGGGGCTGATTACATGGAGCATTTTCAACCCCGGGATTGAACTCAGCCCTGCTTACCGGGTTGAAATTTCAGCTCTGTCTGTAATACAAAACTCTATCAAAATCAAATACGCGATTACATGACAAAATTTTCAATCCAGGGCTGAGTTCAACCCCGGGGTTGAAATTTCAATCCTGCTACAAACCCGGGGTTGAACTCAGCCTTGGGTTGAAAATTATGTCATGTAATCGTTTCAACCCAGGGCTGAAATTATCACGAGTTATTCGAGCATACGTGGTAGTGACTATTTATTACAAGAAAACAAAAATAAAGGCTTTTTTACTTCCGAGAATCGATGCCGAGAACGTATAGTATAGCGTTTCAACCCCGGGGTTGAAATCGTCCATGTAATCGAAAAAAAATTCAACCCGGTTAACAGGGCTGAGTTCAACCCCGGGGTAGAAAGTTCTCCATGTAATCGGCCCCTAAGTGCAAGTTGCCTATTCGGAACTCTTCTCGTCTAAATTTAACCACCATGCACATTGGGACTGTAATGAAAAGGTTCAATTGCCCTGCCATAATTAGTAGTTCAACTATGCCGGCAGAAATTTGTATCAGTGTACCTGCAAATCGAACCTACCGTCTGTCATTAATTTTGCCGTCTGTCTCCCCAGGTAAGAAAATTAATAAGTGGACCTTAGCCGGAACTTGGTTCCATTCTCTTCATTTTCAAACGTATTTCAAAAGTTTAGCTTCGTTAGATTTTTTTATGTTTTTAAAATATTTGATATGATTTCGTCATCTCTCTTTTTAAAGAGTGTTAATGCCAATGTATAGTGCTTACTGCTTAGTGCCACTTTGTGTTCCTTGTAGAACAAGTTGTATACCATGCATTTTGTGAACGTTTGGTTTTCAGTCCTGTTGTTGCAAGTCAGTTGTTTCAGACTTTGTTTCATATAGTTGTGGGCATATTTCCTGTTACACCGGGCGTACACTGAGTAAGCTAGGTGAAGTCATGGTCTCTTAAAAAAACCCCAATAATTAATGATTATAAACATAATCAAGCTATAATCAAGCCAGGGGCGAAACTAGCCCCTTTTAATTAGGGGGGTGTCTGGCAGAATTGCCCTGCCAAAACCAGTGATGCCCTGCCAAAAAGTACCAAAAAAATTTTTCCGGAAAAATTATTCGGTCTGTGTACCATTTTAGGGGTCAAAAAAATTTTCCGGACAACCTATATTTTTCGGAACATAACACAAATTTTCGAAAAATCACACAATTTGCGAAAAAATTCACTTAATTTTAGATAAAATTGACTGAATTTGTCCCATTTTTTTTTTTCAAACCAAAATTGCCCGACTGTTGATCGAATATTGCCCCCGCCCGGTACGCCTATGTGCTATCATTTATTTATAAGAGACCTTTGATTGCCCTCAAGTTTCGCCCCTGAATCAAGCTCGATTATTACCAATGCCGGGTCTCGAAAAATCACGGTCATAACGCGGCACCTTCTAGTTGAATGTTTCATAAGTGCTTTGCCTTTGATATAATTAGTTTCGTTGTAACTATAATTACACTGTAAAACTAAAGAAGAACACAAGAAAAATTGTCTCCAATACTCTGTAGGCGGCACGCATCACTCATCAGTAAGAGAGAAAAAGTCGATATTATAGCTATTAATATCATTTTCATAATTAAATCCGCTGTTACTTTAATTTCAGTTCATTGTTAGCACATTAAAATTGCGAGTTGATTTCAAACCCGTTAAAACTTTTTTGTGACTGCATGAACGTGCAGGGTACTGGGTGTGAATATTGTATTTTTTTATAAAATTACCTTTCAATTGTTATTTTTTCAAGATTAACGTTTAGTTTAAACGCTAGCTATATAGTAAACAGCAATTATGTGATTGGTCTCATGCATGGTCATTACTTTTCCCGACCACCTGATTCTTCGGGTGAGATGCCAGCGGAGGAGGCTACATGGTCATGTAACTGCCAAAATAAAATCAAACCTGTTCCAAAAGACGGATCAATAATTACGGCGACATTCGCTGTGCATTCAACGATCATAAAGCACAACTGATTTCTGCTTCAGTAACCCCCTCCAAACTTCCTACAGTGGAATTAACTTTCGCATTTATTTGCCAATGAGAATATATTTAGGCGAAAACATGTAATGAAAACTGTCTCACGTTATTATATATACAACTGCTTGTATGAACTATTTATTATTTCTTAACCTGGCTATAATACTTGTTCTAGTAGCTTTACATACAGCTAGTTATTAGTGGAAACCACAATGCACCCAACCATGCTAATGGGTGTCTGCCACATTATTGCTAACCATTGGATAGGTTACGAGGCTGCCATGACTAAAACAATTTTTATTTACAGTAGTTCGTCTCTGAACCATTGTTTAGAGTCTTTTGGTTAGTAATAAGTTTAGTTTTGTTTTTAACTAAACGTTAATTCGTTATTCGTTATAATAGTTTTGATTAATTAAATAACCTAGTAAACATTATGCTAATCAGTATTTAATATATAGTATTCAATTTATGACAAGCAAATTTGCACAGCTAGTACCAAGTCTACCAATGCGTGGTGAATTTGACAACTATTTTACTACATTACTGAAATTGATAAGTATAAATTTTTGAAATCTCGGGATTCGAAATCTATCATTCTCCACAGGCAGTTGAACAGCAATTTATATTTAATGAAAAACATGGCCAGATCAATATCTATGGGACCATTCACAAAGGATGTCCGGGCGAACTGATGGATTTTCAGACCTCCCCTCCACCCCCCTTGTCCGCCGGCATGGTCCGAATTAGAGAACCCCCCCCTCCTTCCCCCTCGCGCAACCTTGATATGTCAAGAGTAAAAAACTTTTAGCACTTTTTTGTAACTAAGTGTGAATACAAAAAGAGTAGCCGGTATAAATGCAGAAAGCTATAATTTCACGATACTGTTGAATTCGTCATTGAAGGAAAGAATCAGTAGATAATATTATGAAGTGTTCAAAATACCAATTTCACAATGGGAAGGAGAATTCAAAATAGAGGCGAAAAGAAATTTTTTTTTGAATTTTTTTAAAATTCGGACATCCAGATTGGCTAACCTCGCCCCCCTATGTCCAAGTTTGTCCTGATTTTCCAAACCCCCCTCCACCCCTCCCCTCCCGTCGTCTTGGACATCCTTTGTGAACTGATGGCCCCTATCCATACAGTCTTTAAGGAAATTGTGGCGGGATAAACGTTTACACTCTTTGCGCCATTGAAATACTCTATACTCAGAAACTTTAACAAAATGTATTTCTGAATGTTTTCATCTTAATTAAACCGTAGTACCTAGTACTGACATATAACGAATCTAGAATGGCCTATCCCTACCACACACCGAGCCATACTTGGGTTGTCGATGTACGCGTGGAAGAACAGCTATGGGTTGGGTTTATACATTGGTAATATCTAAAACTATTTCTGCTTCACCGTCACACATTTCGATATCTGGTACATTGAAGTCAGAATCTTGCCCAGTACGCTGAGGATCAAAATACAATGGACGAATTCCATCGTTAACCATGAAAACCTGACAATTTGTACAATTATGTTCATGTACCTTAAGTTGATTAACGTAAACGCATCTTTCGCTCGCATTAGTGAAAAGAGGTGCTTAGTCAACGTGAGCTCTATCTAATGTAATCTCGATGTTTTAATCCTTTGTCGTAATTGCAAGTGATTCTCCAATTTGCGTTTGAATATTGGTTAATATACTTCATTCGCGACTGTTGAACAGACGGTATTTAACCCAAGAAGGATGATTCTCATTCACGGGATGGTTAGTGATAAATGGCTTAGCAAATTGATCTTTATTTTCGAGACTGAATACGATTGGCTTAGGGTCCAAACTGCACCATGATCTTTCCAGAAATCGCAGAATACTTGATAAGGTTTGGTTGCGAGTGTTAAATTCCTCAGCGCAGCGGGAAAAGACTATACATACGATATTTAAGAGTGGAAGCCCAGCCATCAACATTGTCAAAAATAGATAAAACTGAATGGTTTATGCTGGCTCCTGAGATTGTTCCATGCATGAAATTGAAAGGAACAGGAATATAGCCAGATGATTCAATATAACTTTGATAGTAAGAGTTGATAATAATTATTAATAATCATTACATTGGACACTGGTTATTAATTAAACAGACAACCAGTTTTAGTGCAGGTTGTATACATGTAGATAAAATTAAGTTTTCTCTCTACCTTTTAGATTAGTAGTTCAAAATCACCCTTTATTTAAAATTTGAGTACTGAATGACAAAAAAAATATTCTATTCTAAGCAGTATAGTTGTACGCTTTGTCATCAATCTGACCTTAATTTTAATTCGTATTCGTACCAGTAAAAATGGACCACGCATCGAAGGCACTTATTATTTTCAATGAATGCGGTAGTATGACCGAATATTAGTCGAAACGTCGATATAAAGTTGAAAATCGGATCGGAATTTCCATTGTACTAGCTTTTACATTAATTAAAATGCTTAGTATAGTGGTTACCGAAAATTATTTTTCCATCTTTTTCTTCTCTACTTGCGAAATATTGGACAAGATTCAAGAAAGAATTGACCATTTGCGTAATAGACTAAATTTTAATCTAAACAAGTCTAGACAAAAATTTCATCATAGCTTGAAAGAGCATCACAAAATTAGTAATATTCCAAAGTTTCGTTGCGAAATGTTGTAAAATGCGGATAATATAGCCTTGCGAAGTTTGCAATTTTCAGTCATTTTAGATTACAAACGGGAAATTGACAGCCCCAAAGGGTATTGGCTGTCAGTTTCCCGTTTGTAATCTGAAATGACTGAAAATTGCAAACTTCGCAAGACTATATTATCCGCATTTTACAACATTTCGCAACGAAACTTTGGAATATTACTAATTTAATTTTGTGATGCTCTTTCAAGCTGTGATGAAATTTTTGTCTAGATCAAAATTTAGTCTATTACGCAAGTGGTCAATTTATAGTCTTTATATCGTTGTTTAAATTTTAAGACTTTTAAATTTTGTGTCCGAATTACTGGACTCACATTGACCTAATGCGGGCGCGAAAGCGTACAATTAAAATTTTATTTACTGCACAACTATGCAATTTAGAAAACATCAAACATCTATATAACCAATCAAAATCGAGTATAATTGAGTAAAATGATATTATATGAAATTTAAAGACAGAATTAATCTCGAAAATGAATGAACGTACTGTTAACTCATCAACAGTAATGTGAGCTTGGCAACACGTGAAAGGGCCGAGACGGAATCAGGTTAGTTATAGCAATATAGGCATAGCATACATCCATATATCTTATATACACTAGATAGCGCATCTCTAATCTCTTTTAGTAAAATTGAAGCCAAGAATATTCCAGCGGTTACCCCCATTTGAATAGATGGCGGCCATGTTGGTCGTTCCCACCTGCTAATAAACGCTTAAAAACAACAATAACTTTCATCATTTGAATAGTTTAAAAACGTATTTGGAATAGGGTTAACTTAATGTTTAAGTTCCCTGTTTAAGAAATAGAAAACATACGAATCTTCTCATTTCATGGGAACGACCTGAGACTGCAATCACAGCTTCAATTTTTGAATTGCAGAATAATTAGATGCACTATCTAGTGTATATAAGATATCTATGCATACATCGTACTTTTGTCGCTGACGCTGTTAATTAATTAAGCTGCGGTCAAACGAGGATGACTGAGTTGATGAGTGTTGGCAGTCACTCACGAATTGTTACACGGGACATTTCCAGCTCTAGATTAACAAAATAATGGTTATAGATGAGTATAAGAGTGTTCCAGGCTTGATAGTGTTGCGAAAGTAGAAGCTCGAGCAGAACGGCTAACCAAATGCGCGCGGGACTATATACTACTATACCAACTCTCTTGCACGTTTGCCGGTTCGGCCTTTATAGTGCGTGCCACCAGGGGCCGGTATCACAGCGGATTTGGACTCCCCGCGGATATGGACCCCCGATTTGGACCCCTACGGTACACATCCGCTAGCTGATATGTACCCCCTTCCGCGGAATTGGACCCCCTAAAATTCACAAAAAGAACTGAGAAATTTTCGATTTAAGAAGTAATTATACGAGTAGTTGTCGACTATCTATGATGAAATTATAGATAATATATGTATTCTCGAGATCAAAATAACCAGCTTTGCGTAAAAGTCTAACGATATTAATAAAGTAATCCCAAAATGAGAGCATTTGCGAAAGGTTTGCACAACATTTATTAGCTAATAACAATATAATAACAAATTTATTAAACATGCGATGTAACGGTATGTATGATAACTATTGGCATGACTCAACTAACTTGGAATTTGCTTTAATGACGAAAACAATTTATTGAGATGCTAATTTTATAAAAGTTTAGGGTTGAATGGAATGCATCACTTTGTCATGGGTATGTTAAGGCAAAAATAATTTGAAATGTATTTTCATTTTCCGTTTTTATTTCATTAGTTAAGCGTCAGAGCGGATAGCAATTCCAAGGAGTAAAATACTTGCGAAGGCTTCATGCACTTCTCGCACATTCCAAGATCATAGAAATAAGCCCATGTAGCAGAAAAATTATAAATCATAAACTTTGACGGAATTCTTTAATCTAAACATCTATATGATTTGATGGAATTTTCTAATCTAAGAATCTTCGTACGGTTTTTAAAATAAATCAGATGAGATTTATGACGATTTAAAACTCTTTCAGTACAATATTCAAAATACGATACGTTGCAATGAGAAAATACGCGAGGGGTCCAAATTCGCGATGGGAGTCCAAATCCGCTAGCGAATAAAGACCCCCATAGGTCCATATTCCCTAGCGGATATGGACTCCCCGGTCCATATTCGCTAGCGGATTTGGACCGGGGGGTCCATTTTGAGGAGGGTCCAAATCTGCTGGGACACCGGTTGTTCAAAGGTGAGTTAGCGCTAACCCTGGGTTAAAATTAAACCTGCTGTTTTAGTTTGTGTATATTTCTACACGTCTGTTTATTTCAAAACTTCAGAGAAGTGAACTCCTATCGATCCAGACAATTAGATCTCTGAAGAAATATTTCCAAATTTGTAGACAAGCTGTCAGGAAGTTTGCTTTGAATTTTAGGTTAACCCAGGGTTAAGCTAACCCAGCTTTGAACAACTGGCCCCAGCCGTGTAAATCTTCCAATGAATTGTAAAATGGTAAAATGAGTATATCAGGTGTGAATCACATGTTTCAACATACAATTATGTTTTTGTAAATTTATCTAATGATGTCATTGAATGTGTGTGACTGAGTTAACCAAGGCTAACAATCGGTAACAATCAGTTATATAGCTTGAGACAGAAACCAGAGAAACGACAACTAATTATGCAGTAAAGCTCCAAAATTTGTAATAACCGCTGAGTTAGAGTAATAGAGTATGAAATACAGTACAAGGCCAATGATATTATTTTATGGAAACTCAGAAAATGTTCATTTTTGTTATAATAATTCTACGCATCAACCTGACAAGTCAGGCTCTTTACCCCACACGCTATGTAGTCATTTTGAGGATGACTATTGACAAGTCTAGACGTAGAATTATTATGTCAGTGAAGCTCCCGTTGTACAGAAATAATTTTGCTGCAACTGAAATGACATTATCCGTAATCATACCTAATGACGTAACATGACCTATGGCCTGAGATATAACTAGTTTACATAATATCGCTTAGCAACAAACAGAAAGAGATATAGATGAAACTACCTGAAAATTACAAGGATGGCATCCCTATATCAACTGAAGTTTGTTATTATTGGGGCTGCTTACACTGGCACACCGTTCACGAACGAATGAAGACAGACTCGCGTAATAATATCATTAATATGTTATCTCGTAAGTAGGCTATGTGTGTGGCACTATAATCACGAGCTTGGACACAACAGTCATAAATTAAGTCCTGGTGTGTAAAGATGATGAAATATGTAGGTGTAAATCACATGCTTGTGTTTGATCGGATGATCGATATATTTGATCTATGATGTCATGCATACATTGCAGTATATATATATGAACGGGGAAACACAGCTGCTTACAATACTATAGCAACAGATAGCAGAGAATAGAGAAGACAAAATCACGTTTAAATATGTTTTCTATAAATCTCGCTGTATTTTTCTCGCTGTTGGTGTGTGCCGCTAGCCGTCCGAGTGAAGCACCCGGCTTGGGATATTTGTTCGTAAACGGCTCGCAGACACCATTTTGCTACGACCTTTATCAAAACGACATATGCCCACCAAATTTGGTGAACTATAAAATCTTGGGTTACAACAGAAGTACAGAACAAGTTGCCAAAATGGAGCTGCAGGGTGTGAAGTTCAGCCTTCAAGGCCTGGAATTCTTTCAAGTCAGCCAAGCTTGTCGAGATAGTATCCGCGAATATTCTTGCTCGAATATGTTCGCCGTTTGTACACCAGACAGCAAACATGGCATAAACTTGAAATACAATTACGAGAAAACCAAAGCAGCTTGCGGGCGTGTTCAATCAATTTGTCCTAAAATCGTAACAGAAATGGTTGTATACAACTGTTCCCTGATACAGAAAGACGTAAGCGGGTATACCCATTGCGCAAATCTACCAGAGGTTCCTGGTGATGTGTGCCCAAAGTCAAGTTACACGGTAGGTTTTGTACTATACTCATTGTTTATATCCTGAGTTTATATCCTGAGTTTATATCCAGGAGCGGCAGCTAGCCCTACTAGAATTTTATTTTTTTATTATTTTATACATCATATTATAATATATATGTTGTATACAGTAAGAACGTTCTCGATTGGCTGAAGTGAGGGAGGGCTCAAAAACTCGGCGATTGAGCACAACAAAAAAGGCGGGAATTTATACAATGGCAACAAAAGGTGCGATAAATACTAGTTTAAACTCGGGGGTTGTAGAATTTTTATTAATAAACTTAAAGTCTTAAACCCCTGTCTTAATTAACCTCGACCTTTAAAACTGTTAATTTCATACGATGGATAATTGAAGACAGCTTTTCTTTATAGTCATGCTTTCAAATACACATTAATTAAATGACACACAAAACTAAATGCTGTCTTTTTATTCATTTACTTATTTCCTAATTTTAGTATTAAACAGTTAAATGTTGGAGTATGTTTACAGGCGCGTTGCGTCATACATGCTAAAGATCGCCCATTCGATTTTCGAGCGACCAATCAGAAACGTTTTAATATTTTGTTTCAGTTAGGAGAAATTGAAATTTTATCAGAAAGGAAAAATTTGTATTTATTATAAAAGCATATTTTTACCTGACCTTGCTGTTCAAAATGCTTCAAAGCGTTTAAGGAATTACGCTGCCAAGCTTTCAAAATAAAATGTGCATGCAACAGGTGCAGGTAAACGCAAACATTTTAAGGACATCTATAATAATCACAAACTGTAATATTATCCGACGATTCTGTGTTAAATTGCGCAATGGTATCAGGCAACTTCGTTTTCACAGACCTGCATTACGTCAAATGGAACTGAATTGTTTATTTGATCTGATTTGATTTGGTCATTTGGAACAAAGATTTTCGATATTTTTCACTCTTATTAATTTCCATTATTGTATAACTGAAACAATTAATGATGCCATTGTTTATAGTCAGGTATAGATTCGCAGATAGACATAGACAACGTAAAAAGATAGTGACGTATGAGTTATATGACCGTATGAGACATTTAATAGACTAATTAGTACTCATTCATAAAAGGGTTAATAGACAATTCCCATTATAGACTAGGATAAGAGATGGAAATTATTCACCACAGCTAGAAAAAGCATACTAAATGAGTAAAATGGCAAAGTTTGGTTGCGAAATGTTGTAAAATAGCTTAAAATGCGGAAAATATAGCCTTGCAAAGTTCGCAAATTTTGTATACTTTTGTATTTGCGTGCAGAAATTGCTACCACATTTGGGCCGAAATTTCCGCGCGCACGCAATACAAAAGTATACAAAATTTGCAAACTTCGCAAGGCTATTATATTTTCCGTCATTTACAACATTTCGCAACCAAACTTTGCAATTTAACTCATTTTAGTATGCTGTATGCTCTCAGTTCTAGGTGTGGTGATATATTTGCATCTCCTTACCGACAAAAACTAACAGTGGCGTGCTGGCAGGGGGGGGGGGCGGGGGGCCACGGCCCCCGAGGGGCATTTCACTCCAAAAAAGCGTACGGGATTTTCGGATTTTTAAAAATCCGCGGATTTTTTAGCGGATTTAGCGGATTTTTCCCGGATTTTTTAGCGGATTTTTGAAGAGAAAATTTGCTGGATTTTCGGGATTTGTTCGGATTTTCCGGATTTGTTCGGATTTTTGAAAATCTGTTGGATTTTCCGGATTTGTTTGGATTTTCCGGATTTGTTCGGATTTTTTCTGGATTTTTTTTTAATTATAGAGTTATAGAGCTAGGTAACGTTTTGAACAAATAATCTTAAAGGGGAAGTCAAGTCCGTTCTGCGCATCGGTTCTGCGCATAACAATAGAGGGCCCTCTGAGGTAAACATTGCCCAAATTTTGAATGTTTCGAATTTTTTTGAACACAAACTCTATTTCATATTCATGTAGAAGCATAACGAACCAAAATGGTGTTAGATATTCAGACAGTACATCATATTTTAAAAAATACAGCAGTTCAAAATGTAAACAAACCGTTTGTTTACATTACGGACTTGACTTCCCCTTTAAGTTGTACGACGTCAACGTTATGCCAGGACGTCAGGATCGAGCAGAGGACTGGGACTAGGATCGCAGCCTTCAGAAACTAACGAAGGCTGGGCATGCAGTCATTTTGTTTAAAATTCAAACAAGTTCATTATTCTTTCAAAAACAGTAAAAGACAGTGGTGAATAACTTTTGGTTTTGTAATTATATTTTACAACATAACGTTATTGTAACAAGAACACATATTTAGTAGTAATAGGCTAAAAAAACTTAGCATATACTCGAACGTATAAATGGAAATGTAGAGTGGTCCAATAATTACGAAATATAATGACAGCGAATCAGCGATCACGGTAAGCGTTTAGCTTTCGCTGTCCGCCATTTTGAACGTGGCAAAGAACCTTTACGAGTAAATTACACCAAGTACTTCATATATTTTTTGTGGATTTGCGGATTTTTTTGAGGATTTTGAAGGATTTCTGTGGATTTTTGAAGGATTTCTGTGGTTTTTAAAGGATTTTTCGGATTTTGATGGATTCAACGGATTTTGAGGATTTCATGGATTTTTTCTGGATTTTTTCCGGATTTTTTGACGAAGTGTACGGGATTTTTGGAGTGAATTGCCCCTCGACGGCCCCCCCAGCTGGCAATTCTTGGAGGGCGCAAAAATGAAAATGGGGCGCCGAATTTTGAAAGTGGGTGGGAAAAAACGCATTCTCGAAAAAGTATGGTTACTTCCGCCAAGAAAAGACATGTTTATAGGCTACAGTATAAAACAGACTAAGCGCATATAGAGGGGGTAGGGGTACCGATCCTGAAGCACGAAAAATAATATGCAGCGATCTTGAAGCATGAAAAATAAAAGAAGGAAGTCCTGAAGCACGTAAAATAAATTTATTACGAATCTGAAATGTAAAGTGAACATGAAATGTAAGCAACAATCATACTTAGAAGTCTTAAAAGTGAATATAAACAGTCTGTACTAGGCGGTGTGTTCACCTATTTGTTTACAATTGCGTCGATGTTCATGATTTATATAAACTGTGAAACCTCCGTTCCCCAATCAAAACATAGCTAAAATCCAGAAACAAAATTAATGGAATATATTGTCCAGAAACGAGAAATAACCGCCTTTAAATACAGCTGAAAACGGAGAACGGATATTGAATACACCGCAAGCACGATACACGGCATCCATGTCGGGATCGAAAAACGTTTAATAAAAAGATGACTGAACGAAGAACGAATAATTAAATTACCCCAATACGCAGCACGAAAATACCCCATTACCCCCCTCCATATAGGCGACATATATTAAATTACAGACTATTTTGCCTATAACCGTATTTGCTAGCTCACACGAAATCGTTCATATAGAAACATGATCAGTGATCACAGCTAGGCAATGTCTCATTACCGAAATATTGGTCAGGTTTCGATCGAAGCGATCACAGGAATTATGCCCTTTTTTGCTGGTATTATGCCCTTATATTATGCCCTAACAAGGGCAAATAATGTTAGCCAATCAGCGCGTTTGTTTACATTTTGCGTTCTTGACCAATCAGAATGCCTGAAATTCGAAACATGTAAACAAAAGGAGTGAGAAAATAGCACCTTGTTCTACGCCCTCGGTGACATTCGATATTAAACTTTTTTCGCCAAAACTGACAAATTCTGATAAAGCATGCTTTCTTCTTTAATTTCCTCGGGGGGATTTTTAAAATTCGATCTAGAACGCGAAATATTTATGTTTGAATAACAGTGTTTCGACGCGCGTAAAATAGCAAACTCTCACTTGCACTATCTTTACACACACATAAAAAATTGGTAGATTTGGCAGTTTAAACTTATTTTCCCCACACCACAGCTGACATGTTTTTAAATATTACCTATCTGATCTCATCGATCTCATTTCGCATCGGAAATGCGTCACAACGATCCAGGACTGACAGGTACAATATCGCATGACTCATTACTGTACATTAAAAGTACATATCCGGTTGGCAAAATGGCGATTGTCTGCAAGACCTTGCGAAGGGCTTAATATTTTTGCTAATAAACTGTTCACGAGGGTTTCGTTCTGTTCGTCTTCTGTTTGGTCGTCAATCGTCTTCGGCTGCTTCACTTTCTTGGTCGCTTTCGTCCTCTTCAAAGTAAGTCGCCGGGGCAATCAGCGTTAATATTTGCTGTCTTTCGAAGACCTTCCAAGAGCTTCAACATTTGCCAACGTTGTTGCTTCACAAACTGGGCAATCGCTGATGTTGGGCAGGATGCATTCGATGTGGAACGCAGGTCCACAACCACGGAAAACGTTCCAAGTGGATTAACCTTTTCTCAGGCAGGCAAATCGCAGGTAAGATTTATATTTTATATTTACAGATATTGATACATTTATATAGTCAGCGTCCTTGGTGATTGTTCCAAAATATGAGTGTGTGCCAAAGTTAAAATATTACTCATAATCTCCAGAACATGTTTGGACAATGTTTTGAATCACTGCAGTTTAGAATTAGCAGTCGTTTTAAAGACAACAGAACTGGCAGCCATGGCACCCCATAACTATTCAGTGTACAATACCTGAATACCAGACAATGTAAATTACCACCTCCCCCAACCCAGAAGTAGGCAGTTTTTATTTCCCAGCACTGCATAATCAAAATTGCTGGATTATATAAATGTCTGGCTTTGTCTCAGTGGCCCTGCTTTGCCCCATGAACCCCACACTTCCTAGATTCAAGCAAGCAGGGACTTATAT